TATTGGTTTTTACAATTTATAATATTATAAATTGTAAAAACCAATAATAATTTTGTTTTCATTGTTGTTATATTAATAATATCTGTCAGAAACTATAAGTTGTTGTTGTTTTTTACTGAAATGCATCCTATTGAATTTCTTAATTAATATTAATTAAAATTGTAATTTTGAAACAAAAAAAGGTTCAAGCCCATTAATTACCTTCGATAATTTGTTTACTTCGATATAGTTTCATAATGTGTTAGAAGCTGATAAATGTTTTTTTATCTTTGTATCTTTTGGCTCAAATGTGGCTCCTCCCACCTCTGACGAAACGCGCATCTCTCTTCTAATTGGTCCATTTCTAACAGTCCGCCATATTCAAACTTCCGCCGTGGCATTGTTGTGAGCGATTTTCTGCTAAATTAGATCCTTTTAACACGGAAAGTCTTCGACTTTTACTTGTTTAGTCATTTTTAAATTTTAGTGTAAGAGCTTTTAAAACGATATATTACGTAGAAATGGAAGAAAGTGAGGAATTTAGCGGAAGGACGACGGAAAACACGAAGAAGAAGCTACGCAGGATTTCTTCGAGGACCTCTACCACCAGTGTGATCAGCGCCGCTGAGCCATCTCCTCAAAGTCTGCGGAGAAATAACTCAAAGAAGTACGTATATATAAAGAAAATGTACCTTTCTTTATTACAAAAGATTGGGCAATGTAATATAACAATAACAGCGCCATCATTAAGAGATAATTTCGCTTTTTTTTCGACTTTGATGAGCAGTGCTGTTTTTACTGGCACCATGGTGCGTTCAATTACACTCGGAAACCAGAAATTTTGGTGACAAAAGTTTCATTACTTATGCAAGAAATAATAATAATATAATTCATGGAAACTTGTACTTTTTTCCATTTATTAAGCTTAATTCACACGTTTTTTAGTCCATAAAAAATAAGTAATCAATTAATTATGTTTTGTTGATGCAGGTAGATTTAATTACAATGTGCTGTTTGATAATATCAATAAAAAAACTTACAATTGATATTAAACAGAAAATTAGAAATTCCAATGTAGTGTTCTTTCATTGGTCATCTAAATCAACCAAGTTGTAAGTTGAATGCAATAAAAAAAATCCTCAATTTTTAAACTTAAATTTTTTGAACTTCATATTCTATATTTCAGGGGCCAGTTAAAACAAGTTTGTGTTGTTTCTAGGATATTGTTCAAGGGTATGTTTTTCAATAAAACAAGATGGAAAATTGAATGTGTATTGTGACCTAATAACACCTGACAGTGTTGCTTATAAAACTAAATCGGGATCGGCAGGTCAAACTTTAGAAATCTGTGCTCAGTCAGAAAACTGCAATCGGTGCACCCCTACTAAATACCTGAAATGTTGAGGAAACCGTCAACATTAAAGTTATAAACCTGTCCTTAAGCCTTCGTGTAATGAGTGACATGGTTTAAGGTTGTGCAGCTGTGTGCAGCTGGCCTCGACAGATCTCTTTGGGTGTCCTTCATTATTTTATTAATATAACTGACTGTTTCCCTACAGCACCAGCTTATGAATTTAATATGTTCATCCTGTGTCTGTAAAGCTTCTTTTGGATTTAGAACAAAACTGGAACAAAAGAATAAACACTCAAATTGCTGTCATTGCTTTAAAGTCCTCTAGATGTCCTCAAGTGTTCAGGACATCTTATGATAAATATAATGATTGTGAAAGTTAAGCAATATTTATTTTTCCTGTTTTTCTGTAGACCGCCCCTGCAGAGAGGCAGCTCCTTCACCTTCCTCACTCCAGGGACTCCGTGGGACTTCACTTTAGTGAGATAATTTTACATCACAGCTCTAATGTAACTTCAACGAACGTCGTTTTACTGAACGACCGTCACGAGCCATCCACATTGTTATAGTTTGATCTGTACTTATGTTGCTGCATCTTCATTATGTGACTCTTCTTGTGGTTTTTGAAAATAATGTGTTTTATTCCAGAAAAGGAAGCGCAAAGAAAAGGAGGATGACACCGTCAGTTTGTCCAGCTTCGACCTCAAGGTAGGGCGGCTTCGTCTCAGAATACTGAAGATCTAGTGATCAGCTTTGAATGAATCCTTACGGTAAACTTTAATCCCTCTACGTGACGCGGAGAGCAGTGCTGGAATGTGTTTGAGCTGCATATAATCCCTTCACCTAGACTGGCACAACCGCTCTCTGTCAGATGAAAATATGGAGACACATTGTCCCTCAGCTTTCCCTTACTGTCTAGACCAGGGTTGTTGAACTGGTGACCCGGGGGCCAAATCAAGCCCACAGGTGAACACAGTTTCTTCCACCAATGGGTTTATATTTAAATAAAACTAGATTTTAAACTGGGCTACACGGTGGCGCAACTGGTAGAGCTGCTGCCTCTCAGCGAGCAGGTCCCTGGTTCAAACCCCGGTCCAGGGGCCTTTCTGGGTGGAGTTTGCATGTTCTCTCCGTGCATGCGTGGGTTTTCTCCTGGTACTCCAGTTTCCTCCCACAGACCAAAAACATGCATGTTAGGCTGAATGGTAACTCTAAATTGTCCCTAGGTGT